TCTGGATTTAATTTAACATTTACCGTTATCATACTCTGATTCAATGACATACAAAATACAGCCAGACACAAAACAGGTTACGACCTTGAATTTCAAGTTGTAGACTGGGCCATTTTAGTATAGGGCAATAGGTCTCCGAACTCTAGTTAAAATAAAAATATGATACCAATTTGTACCAATGAAAAGAGGATTTCCCTTAGTGATTTGTTGCCAGGACTAGAAATGTTAATTAAATCAACAACATATAAACCTGACACACGCAACATGTACATGTACTTTAGTTTGTCGATTGTCCGTGGTTGTTTTTATGGTAATTTACTAGTGAGTTTCCTGTCGACCAACGTCTCACCCTGTATTAAACTTTAATTATTACATAAGTTATGATATCATTAACCATGTTTTCTTTACTCCACCTTAAAACTTTATAATTAATTTTAATCATCAACAACATCCAAACAATTTCAGAAGGGAAAAACCAAAGAAATAGAAACTTTGAAGGTCACAAATGAATGAGAAAGAGAGAGAGGGGGGGGGGGTTAAAGCAATTATGTGCCCATTTTACACAGTCTAGATTCTTGATTCAGACGTGGTTGTCTGTTCCTTACACAGATTCATAGACCACACTTATTATGGTTGGTGAGAGAGAAAGAGATAGGGGGTTTAATGTCCACTCGACACAAACTAGGTCATTTCGGGACTAACATTTGGTTCAACTTTATTTCAATAATTCACTAGCACGTAGGGGTTTTTAGCAGTGGGAGGAAACTGGAGGACCCAGAGAAAACCCATGAGGTTGGACAGGCGACCTTACTCCTTGTCACGTACAACTGGGGAATCAAAACCACCCCAGTTGACTCAATGACAGACCTTATGATACAACACGCACGTGCTAACCATTGGGCCATCCAACCCCCCCATAATGGTGACATCTAAGGTACATATGAGTCAAACAGAGCAGAACGATGTCTGTGACCACACATTCACCCAAACCACAAAATCCCCAAAACAGAATAATATAGGTTTGCAGTAGTGTATCTTAAACCCCATTTCTCTCTCTCTCTCTGCACATAGTGTATTTTGTGGATGAGGTTTGCGTCGAGAGGAGATTAAACCCTATTTCTCTCTCTCTCTGCACATGGTGTATATTGTAGCTGAGGTTTGCGGAGAACGGAGGAATGTTTTATAACCAGGATAAAAACATTGGGTTATTTTTCCACCTGTTTCACCTCTAGTTTTTATAAGAAGGTGATGATAAATAAACTTGTGTATCTACTGAGTACGTATCTATGACACCGTAACTAACCACCATCTTGATTCTGGATTATCTACCGTGTTAACTGGACTGTGTATAATTTCAATAACAAATAATCTCTGATCGTGCCAGCCATCTGTTAACAACGTCAAAACTTTTCATAAAATCTGGTACCGTATCTACGATACCCTAACTAACCACAAACTTGTTTGCGGATTATCCAGCCTGTTAATTTTACTATGACATCTGTTAACACAGTCAAAACTTTGCACGAAATCTGGTAGCATATCTACGATACCCTAACTAACCACAAACTTGTTTGCGGATTATCCAGCCTGTTAATTTTACTATGACATCTGTTAACGCAGTCAAAACTTTTCAAGAAATCTGGCACCATATCTACGACACCCTAACTAACCACAAATTAGTTTACCTATCCTGTTAACGGCACCGCGTGGAGTTTTTGGTAATAACAAATAACCACAGATACTACTAGATAACTTTAAACTAAGTCAAAACTCTTCACAAGCCCGTCTGCTGAAGATATTTAATTAGTTTAATCAGTGGGCCAGACGGTAAAAAAACTATTTCTAGAAGCTAACAAAATAAATGATCAAAGTCAGAAATAAAATTGACCACATCAAAGTGTTTGTCTTCATCTAAAAAAGATTATCTTAAATTTCTTGGTATTAAATTTTGATACCAGACACAAAATCTACATGGGAAAAAAAACATCCTCTATCTTAGAGCAGTTACTGCAAATGTCAACAAATTCTCAGAAAAAAAAAAAAATCTTTATCTACTGAAGACAAAGTCAAACCTTTCGTACTAAACAGCTATAAGGAGGGTTTTTTTCGTATTTTTTGGAAGCCACAGTGGCTAAGTGGGTAAGATGCTGGCTTACTAGTCTGGAGATCTCCCGTTCGATCCCTGCATTGGCCAGGAAAGTTCATCGGAATTTTCCGACGTGGTTTCCCCTTGTCAGTGGTGCAGGACAGAGGGCCTGACAAGGACAGCTGTCTAGTCGTTTGGATGGGACATAAAACATTGGCATGCACGTAAAAAATCCCTTGGCAGGTGGAATTCGATATAAGAGTAGGCCATAGTACCACTGCCCGGGCAAAACTTCCCTCTAAGCACAATGTATGGTGTTTGCCCGTATTCATTAGCCGGAGCAGAATAGTAGGACGTATGCACGTCTTCATTAGACCAGCATTAGGTAGGGTATGCTTACTCTTTCTAGAACATCTGATACCACTTCTCAGTGTTATAATATTAAGGCCTTGACCAATAATTATTTGTAGATTTATAGACAAGCAAAACGGTGCCTGAAACAACAGAAATCTGTTGTTGTTATATGATACATGAATTGAACTAAAGGTTAATGAACACATTTGTCATGTTCTGTTGACCAAATTTAGTAATACCTGCTATCAGAGTGCAAGGTATGGGGTATGTTCCATATTTGGAATCTAGGACTGTGGTCAGTCAGTCTATGATGCAAACCAATTAGGGTGTGGGCACTATGAAAGAAAGTGGGGGGGATAGCATTCGGCAGAACTCACACCACCTGTCATATCAGCCATTAATTACTTATATGTGACAAACGCTAAAAGTTTTTATACAATAAAAGATAGAAAAAGAACCTAAACTGTAGCTATAGTTTTAGTCACGGAAGTTAGGGAACGTGAAGTTTAAAGATCGAATAGTACTACAGGAGGAATAATTTCAAATTTGGTTTCTGTAAAAGAGAAACCTAATTATGCCACTCCAATCATTCACTTTTCTATTTTTAAATACTATGGAATGTTGAGTTTGTCCTAAAATAGTTTATAGGTATAACAGACTAATAAAGTGGCTATCCATTGAAGTAATTGAGGGGAGGTTATGTAAGCAATTGGATCTATTAAATACTCAAAGCCAAGTTACGTAGCGAGACCTAATGTCTCTATGGTCCTTGAACTATCGATAATATCAAACTAGGTAATCTATCTGAAAACTTAAACCCCGGCCTAGAATCATTGTTCAGGTACTTGAGATGCCCTTAAAAAAAACAACCTCGTAATTGAAATACTTGACAGTTTCTTAAATACCTAATTATAAATCAACTCTCGTAAAAAGATATTTTTGAATGGGATGGTCCTTTTTTGTCACTTGAACAAAGCCTAGCAATTATAACTTATAACTTGAAATATATCTTTGTGTTGCAAGTTTGATACACAAAAAGTGAGAGAGAAATGGGGTTTACTTCAGGTAAACCTCTTTCATTTTGATCAAAATAAAGTGTTGCAAGTTTGATACACAATATGCGACTGAATAAACGAAAATATTTTAATTAGCACACCCTTTCTTTTTTCAACTTCAGGTAACCCTGTTTCATTTTGATCAAACTAAAGTGTTGAATTTGGTTGATGTGTTATTTTGATTATCCAAGTTATTCAGCAAATATTGGTGTATTTTCTAATTCTGTTTTTGTTTTGGGTTAACAAGCGGTTGCCATGCACGACACGCCCACATTTTGCAAGAGATGGACAGAGATAAAGGTAAAAAAAGAAGCTATTCTTCATACAATCAGGGGCCATAATTTCGACATGCGCAAATATTGAAGGGAACCAAGATCTTTGGGATATAATCATATATTTTAAGTTTCATCGAAACTGGATCAAAATTATGACCTCTAGAATGTCCACAAGCTAAAATGTGATTTTTCATACAATCAGGGGCCATAATCCATGAAGTCTCTATCCAGTACATGCCAATATAACAAAAGGAACCAAGATCTTTTGAAGATAAACCCATATTTCAAGTTTTGTCGAAATCCGATTAAGAATGGTGACCTGTAGAGTGTTCAGACGGACAGACGGACGGACGGGGACGACGACAATGTGGGTGTATAAAATCTTCCGACTGTGGAACTGTCTGTGATATCTCAACCCGCAAATCTTTATAAAAAAAAATTTGTTTTTATTTAAATCCAGGTGATTTAGTCATCTTAAATTTTGAAAAGCTCATAAAATTCTTTCCTGCTGTACTTCAGATTTAATCCATGAATTAAGAGATCTTGTCATTTTAAATTTTAAAAAATTCACAAAAATTTTAATATATTTGGATTAACAGTTGCACTTAGATTTATATCACTTTAACATCATATCTAGAAATTCAAGGTACTGCTTGATTTCTTTTTCAACCTCTCAGATTAACCTATTAATTTTCTATCTTAAATCCTGCACCAAATTTCCTTTTGGTTTCTTTAGATCTATTTGAACACATGGTCATTTCAATTTAAACATATGACCACTATCAAAATTCTAAATCTAGTTTTAAATGAAATCCACCCCAAATTTCATTAAATATAAACTCCAAATGTCAAGCATAGAACATCTGATACTGTTGATTGATTTTAGTGCAGTGATTGCAATGATGTGTAATTCCGATCTTGTATTTACACAAAAACAAATTTATGGACAAGACATATTGCGCAAAAATCACAAACAGACAAACAATTCAAATAAAGTGAATGGATTCGGGGGCTAGCCGTAAGTGTCCACAGCGCTGTACAGTCCTGGGCATGTAGTGACACAGTTGTCTTAAAAGTAGATTTCTATGCAAGACTATTTCAAAGCCTGCTGGAAAATGACTGGCAAAAATATGGTCCAAGTAAGAACCGTGATTTAGAATGGTCAGTGAATTACTGAAATAATGAAATAGTAAGTGATATACGCGTCGTTTAACAGTAAAACACACTTACATTGAGCCTACATACAGGCTTCCTGATTGGCTATCAAGTTTGAGGTAGCGATAAAAACGGGGTTCCTGTTGGACACCATCTTGGAAAGTAAACGTCTCTAGATCTGAAAAAGAGATCAAATAATTAGCAATCACATTATAAAAACTGGGCAATTATCAAAAACATTGCTAAAACGAAAATCATACGCTACGACGATACACGTGTAGTATCTGTGATGGAAAGCTGCCAATAAATACCAGTAGATCATTGGAATATTTTGGCAACAAACAACGATAATAAATACATTAATCGTTGTTTTAATCTGCCGGTACAATATAAACTAATGAGAAACCATCTGACATCAAATACCGAATACACACGTTGATTACTAAACATGTCATCGTGAATCTCTGCTACAACGCATCAAGACCTTACATCAGGTAAAAACTCACGAACTACATTATCTTAAAAAATAAATAAACACTCAAAAAATTGATCAACATCATAAATAAACTTGTAAAGAACTCCATATTGTGATTCGTTTATATTGTGCACATAAAATAAAATCGAAGCCAAAGTCCAGGACATTTTTTGCATTTATAAATAAATATATACTCCAAAAAAACTCTATGAAAAATAAACAAGGAATATTTATAACAACAGGGTTTAACGTACATTCGATGTCCATTTCGAGACTAACATGTTTCAATTTTATTTTTATAACTCGCTTTCGCATAGGGGTCTTTAGCAGTGTCACGTACAAGCAGGTAATCGAAACCACACCACTTGACTCAATGACAGACCTTATTGTTTCATGCACGTGTTACACCACTAGAACACCCAACACCCCCTTAAGAAAATAAAACCAAAATGTCAACGATATATAATCTTTCAGTTTGGATTCAATAGGATTAAAATGAGGCCCATCAAAAGATTTTACTCAACACTTGTAGGTGGCACTGGTTTGTTTATACCATTCGCAGAGAATGACAAATGTCGGGAGAAATTTTTTTTAGTTCATCATTCATTTGTGAAAACTGAACAGAATTGAACCATTTCTTGACTGATGAAACCACGCTCAGCTGTTTTAAATAAATACACACCAAAAACTTATCAACAATAAATAAACTTGGGACATATCTCTACAAAGAATTTGTGAACTTTTGATGCAATTGCCTGTCTTTTTACATTAAAACAATCAAAGGCTGTGTCCGCAATGAAATTCGCCCCAAACTAATTGCAGAGCAATTTTTTTATTATTAAATTAAATCAACAACAAAGGCCCCACCATTTATTTCACAGTTTGAATTTAAGAAATAGAAAACATCTTGGAATGGTGTGAAATTTCTAAACAAACCCAAATATTGACACAGCTTCTTACGATTTAGACCAATTTAAGTTTATTTATTGTGTTTGAACCGAGATGTTTCTATCAAAGTTCTGAAAATCAGTGTTTAGTTGTTTTTGGCAAGATTATTTATATGGACTTGTCTATAATTTTAGATTGTGACATTAGTTCAAAGATCCAATAAACAGAAGTATTTATAAGAAAATATCGACTCAGCAGCTAAATTCCAATTTACATGTATATGTAAAAAGCAGGAAAATTAAAAAGGGCGTTTTTTCATCAATCATATTCTCCAAATCTGCTTTCCAGATGATCAAGTAATCTGATGTCTTCTATAAATGCGTAAGAATATGAACACACAAAGAGAACTAAAATGTGCAATGCAGTTTCCGCACTGCCAGAATTCTGTAGTTTTTTTTTAAGTTCCAAGCATCAAATTTCAGTCTTTAGTCAAAGTACCTTTGTTTTCATTAAAACTGATATTTTACAGTTAAAGGAGCTAAATAGCTAACATTTGGGACCTAAAAATTCACAAAAGTGGGTCGCAACGCATATAATACTGTAATATGAATGTATATAAACTGATTTACATTTAATGGTTTCTGTTTTTACTCCAATTTCAAATCAGTTATGTTCAGCGAAATAAGTCAGCAATCACAATCGAGTGCAAATTTCTAGCGTCTAGTTATTCTAGTCTACATAACTCCATTTGATTTGGTGCAATGTGTCTAGCCTCGTCCCTCGAGTCTCTCAATACAACTGGGGCTGAAGCGCATTATGGTACACGATTCGTGTACCAATGTTAAAAAAATTATTTTATCTTAAATATCGGATATCAGAGGCTCATCTTTTCCCGGTAAGTTTACATCATCAATGTTGATTTAAATTGACCAATAATTCGTGTTTTCGATGTCGAAGATTTTGGAGGATTTTGAGTTACGGACTTAGGTCCTTTAATGTACCTTTGGTTTTGTATTTGTTATAATTAAAATATTAGAGTTAAGCCTTCGGTTAAAGAACCATTGTTTTCGTTTAAAACTGATATTATATAGTAAAAGTACCTTTAACAGAACACAGTTTTTATAGGAAACAATCATTAGTTTTATTCTAAAAGCACAATGATAACGATAAGAGGATACTTGTCGAAACGTCATGCTTTTAGAATAAAACTAGTGATTTTATCCGATAAAAAATGGGGTTCTGTTAATGTGTTTACCGATCGATCGCTAAATGCCACTCAAAGAAAAGTACCTTTGTTTTCATTAAAACTAATATTATACAATAAGAGTACGCCTTTGTTTTTCTACCAGTTATAATTAAAATATTACAGATAAAGTAGCCTTGTTTCTGTACCTTTGCTTTTTTATTTATCAAAATTGATATTTTCCCCTTAAAACTGTCTCTGAATAACATTGAGACACCATAAATATTTGAATAAAAAATGGAAGGAAAACGTATCTGTAGATACCTTGCTTATTTGGTTCCAATTCTCTAGATTTCCCATGGCGCTAAAAAGAATTTTTTGTGGCGATTTATATATTTTCAGTCAGATATGGTTAATATTGAGTCCAATTCTACAAGTGACAATGACAAAATGCTTTTGTCTCCATGTATTCGATTTGATAGGGGGAAATACTGAGAGGAAATCAATAAAAAATAATCTTTAGAAATAATAAACTTTGATCATCCGTTCAATATTTCAACCATGTGTTGAGTTTTATATCTAGTGTGAATGGTGACCATTGTACACGAGAATAGGACACAGAATCATAAACAACTGTAGAGAGGTTGGAATACAGGAAGTAATGGAACCAAGCGTGAATATGGTACATACTAAGATCTGTGTGAAAAATATAAAACATTTGAGATGTTATCTCGCAGCCTTTCTTGCTTTACACATTACACGCGACACAATTCTAAGATGTCAGACATTGATTAATCAATCAGTATTGACGTTTCTAGTGGTTTACCCACAGTTCTGTGCACCTGACGCCAAAAACTCTCTGTAACAGACCGTTTCATTGGCTAATTTGAGATGTTATTTCGCAGCCTTTCTTGCCTTACACATTACACGCGACACAATTTTAAGATGTCAGACATTGATTAATCAATCAGTGTTGACGTTTCTAGTGGTTTACCCACACATCATGCCAAAAACTCTCCGTAACAGACCGTTTCATTGGCTAATCCCTCACATCATCCAGAACTCAGGTTATATAGCAAATCTTTCAGATTTGAGTGTAGTAAAGACAAGTAAAAAAAAATTTTAACTATAAAAAACGACACAAAATAGGATCTGTGTTTTAATTAGATTGTTCATCCAGATTTTCAGGCGTGGTTCCCCCTTGTCAGTGGTGCAGAGCAAGGACAGCTGTCTAGTCCTTCGGATGATATGAAAAACCAAGGTCCCGTGTATACATTGGAATGCACGTAAAAGATCCCTTGGCAGTTGGGATTCGATATAAGAGTAGGCGATAGTGCCGCTGCCCGGGCAAAATTACACTCATAGCACACTGTATGGCGTATGCCCGTCTTCATTAGCCCAGTATAGGAGCCGAACAGTAGGACCTTGAACCCCATTTCATTTCATTTCATTTAATCAGATTGTTGAACTATGGTCGAAGGGGTAATTTTATGAGCATAATGTATTGTTTGCACTGTCTATGTTTTGTTGCGAAGCTATACAGTTTGGTCTCTTGGCTAATCATAAAATGGTTTTGAATCCCCGGTTGTATGTGACAAGGAGTAGGGTCGCCTGTCCAACCTCTTGGGTTTTCTCCGGCACCTCCGGTTTCCTCCCACTGCTAAAGACCCCTACGCGCAAGTGAATTATTGATATAAAAAAATTAAACCATATGTTAGTCCCAAAATGAACTAGTTTGTGTCGAGGGGACGTTAAACCCCATTTCTCTCTCTCTCTCTCTCTGTCTCTCTCTCTCTCTCTCTCTGTGTCTCTCTCATTATGAATGATTATCACATCAGGAAATAAAATGCTAGATTGTGATTGACCCTAGGTCAATTAATTCAACATTGGAACTAATGAGCACTACATAATGATCAGAAATTATCTTATCAGTAATTTGACGACCATCTTGGCTGATTGTATAAACAGTTTAAGATGGTCAAACATACAGAAATATGTTATCGGCCATCTTAGATACTTTGTTATTATTCACATTACTGGATTTATGATTTCTGGTTGTTTAATGGACAAGGAATCAGGATTCACTGACCATCTGCTACGAACAAAAACATTCAACTGTCTGTAAAAACATGGAATGTATTTACAAGTTATCATACTGGCAATACTATTGCAAAATAGTTTTCTTTGAAAATATACTACTGAAAAACAGTTTTGAAAAACCTTATCTTTGAAAATACTTAAAACAGGACTTGTTAGTTTCATTGGCTTACAGGAGTACATATGATTAGAGTGTGTGTGGGGGGGTAGGCTGTCAAGATTTTGCCCCACACACCTCAAAGGACATGATAAAGCATTCTCTGAATTAAGTTAAGAATTTACTCAACTTTCAATCACTGTTTATGAGAAATATCTTTGATCCAGAAACACAAAACTTTACACATAGTTTCTTATTGATGTATTTGATATATTAAAACAACAAAAGTGTTATAAAGGGCTATATTTTAGTTAAAATAAGGCGAACATTTTTGAGTAAATTCTAAACTTAAGTCTGGGAATGTTTTGTAAACTCGGGGTCTGCTCTCCTTATATCTTCTTCATGTTCCTTGTCATATGTTGTTTGTGCCCCTTAATA